AGTCATAATGAAAATGATCATAATTTAAAAGTACTAAATCATGCTAAAATTAAGTTTAATAAGTATTAGTTACATGACTAAATATTAAAGAAAATTAAAATTAGATTATGTATTTTAATTGTCTAAACCAATGTAAAACTAAAGAACAAATATTCAATATTATTGTCATTCTTAGTGTTGAATTGATTTTCTTTTTGCATTAGTATTAATTTGATTTTGATTTAAGTTTTTATTATAATTACCAACATCTGTGGACTATAATCTTTATTTACCCATTCATAATTCTAAGTTTCAAACTTGAAATAATATATTAAACGATAAAAACTATGGAAAAGTATAAGAAATATTTAAAAAGTTATATCAAAGTAAATATTTTTATGTAAAATAAAAAAATTAAATTATATATATAAATTCGGGTTGGTTTGGTCTCGGGTTGTTTTTTTTTAGTTAAAACCAAACCAACCCAAATATAGTCGGGTTTTTTTTTTTCAAAGTCAAACCAAACCACTAGTCGGATTTTTTTTTGGGGTTGACTCGATTTGCTGTTTGGTTCGATTTTGGACACCCCTAGCTCGGACAGTAAAAGCCCCATTCTAATAAATTTGGAGTATGCATGTTCAACTTCGAGGTAAGCTACAACTTACTGACCTTACACTTAGCTTGTTCAATATATACTTCATTATTCTAGTATGATGACTTGAATATGATGACTTGAAAAACATGCTTTAAGAGGATTTTTTATGGCAAATGCACCGTCCCACTAGTATGTATTTTATTTAATGATTAAAACGTAAATAGTAAAATTTATATTGTTAGCATTTCCTGTTTTTTGAACTCAATGTTATAAAGATATAAAAGCTTTATAATAATTATTATAACGTACAAACGTTCAACACTAATAGAAAAACATGCTTTAAGAGGAACATAAAGGTTTAATCTTGCTAAAGAAATTGCAATGCCAAAAGAAACAATTGTATTCTGTTATTTAGCTAGTTTTATACATAACTGCATTCATGTAAACAAAAAGCAGTGATCTTTACCAAGACCCAAAAACAAAAATGAAAGAAAGAGGACTTACTAGTCATCCCTTGAGCAAAAATGAGTGTTTTGGGGAAAACATTTTACTCTGTTTCTGAAGAAAGAATCAAATATTCTCCCCTTCCCCAACCCTTGTTTAAGAAAATAGATAGATAGTACTATCAAATACTAGCTAGTATAACTTTGGCCCTAAAATAAAAGGTAAAATGGACAAAATGGTTTAGCATGTTTGGGAGTATGCAAAAATTATTTTTCAAAATTTTAAAATGTTTTTCTTTTCTCAAAAGTGCAATGAGAAAATATACTCGGAAGGAACTATAAAAAAAATCGGTCAAATATTAATTGTTGCTCAAAAGTACTTTTTAAATTGATTAGTCAAACACAAACTGATTCTCACCTAAAGGCATTTCATTTTTCTTAAAAGGACTTTTGAAAAAAAATGATTCTAAAAGTTTGGCAACAGACTAATCAATTTTAGAATTATGTTAGTGATTGAGTTTTTTTTTTAACTAAACAATCATGAAAATTACTAGTACTGCAGTTTGATTTTTTAATCATTAGTAATTTTTAACATGCGTATGACCGAGTTTACCATACCTCCATCCCCTTATTTTAGACAATCGTAATATTTGGTTACGTTCTACCATTATATGCATACCATATGTATTATAGTTATTTCTGAATTAGCAACTACAGCTAATGCATTGAAACCACTACTGGTTGAGTGGACTATATGACGGAAGCGCAACACACCAAATTTACTATCACTAAAGATCCAAAATGTGTACAAGAAGACTAGAATTTTTGGTTTGACTGTTCCAGTTTTTTGGATGTATTTTTTAGTTAAAATTTAACAAAATTACCGACTCCTCTAGTTCTAGTTATGGCGAGATGGATGAGATTCCTTCACCATTAGCTTGAGTTCAAGCTCTGCGTGAAGAAATTCTTGGTTCGGAATAATCGAGCCAGCAGATACCACTTATAGGACTGACAAATGTAACTATGCCATAAGCACTCCAAGATAGTCTTAAGAAAGTTGGGCATAAAAGAATAGCCAATACATTTACTCATCACGCAAAGCTTGGGCAAAATAGTTGTACACATAATTCAGCCTTATTACATTGTTACACACATAAAATAGGTAGCTTCTTAATTATTTTTTTACATAGTCAATGCCAAGCCATGAGACACTGAAAGATTCTTAGTAGTGACAAGGTGAGTAGCAGTAGCAAGCATATTTTGCCCAGTAATATTTGTGACCCCATGGTTTGTACTTCTTACATATACCATATTTAGCTCCATAGTAGTGCTTGCAATGATAACTACATTTGTAAGAGTATTGACAAGGTCCATTCCACTTGTCACTTTTTTTCCAACAGTATTTCCCTTCTGCCATTTGTATTTCTGCAATAATGAGAAAATTGGAAACTTATGGTATGTACTTGAGATAGCAAATTTATCATATTTCCTAATAAATTTTATTTCCTAAAAAAGTAAGTATGTTAAAAGTTTGTAACTTTAAACAAATCATTATATTTAGTAGCTATATAATCATGTTTGACTAGTCACAAAAATTAACAAGATTTAAAATAAATAAATTCATAATGTTAATAAAATCATTATATTTGGTAGCTATAGAATCATGTCGTTAATTCTTGGCTCACCAGTTGCAGCAACAAGGAAGAGGCAAAGGAGTAGGGCGAGAAAAGTAGTGTACTTTGCCATATCTCTTATATTTTTGTTGATTTCTTGGTGATGAAACAAACAATTGAAATGAAGGTATTTATAGTGTTGAAATCTCATGTTGTCAACTTAATTCCATTTGATTTGTTCAAGGATTACGTTGGATGTTTGCTTTATTAATTATAAGATGGATAATTAAAGTGACAGTACATCAGGTACAAAGAATTTGTCCAACACAACTAACATTTCTTTAATTGAAAAGAATTTGAATTGATCAAAGAGCCATTTGAGTTATATAATCTTCTACTAATTGATCAATTCTATATCGCCACAAATTCCTTTTATGAGGTCACCATCCCTTTGTGCTAATACATGTTATTTTAGCAATTACCTAATATATTGAAGAATCGAGTTTTTCAAATATCAAACAAGAAGTAAATTGCAGAATATAAGAACACGAGAAATTTTATTGGGAAAAACGCTTTGTTTGAGAGAGTAAAAATCATGACCTATCTTAGATGGGTTTACCTAAAAAATTTCACGAAGTCAACCAGTATATTACAAGCCAAGACTACAAGTCTACTCCCCTATTATTCAGGAAAGTCAAAACAAAAACATCAGAATTGATAACCTACAATGTTTCTTCTTGAAAGCATATAGGCTACGGTATAAGGTCAGGGTAAGATCTCGGGTCGGGGTTGGGGATCAAGTTAGGATCGGGTCGTGGTTGAGTCTTGGGTCAAGATCAGATCTCGGGTCGGGATTGGGTCTTGGGTAGGGGTCTCGGGTCGAGGTCAGAATCTTGGGTTGGTGGGGTCTCGATTCAGTTGTCATTGTCGAATCAGGGTTTAGAAATCGAAAATCAAGTGTCGATGTCAAGGTTGGATCAAGGTTAGGGGTCAGAGTCTAGGGTCGGGGTCTCAGGTTGAGATTGTGGTTGGGGTAAGGTCTCATGTCGAGGTTGGGGTCGAGTCGGGTCTTGGATTGGAGTCAGAGTCGGGTCTCCGATCGAGGTCAAGCTCGGGTCTCACGTCAAGGTTAGAATCAAGGTTAGATCTTGATTTGGGGTCGAGGGTTGAGGTCGGGGTCGTAGTCAGGTCTAGAGTCAGGATCAAGGTCGGGTCTCCAGTCGGGGTTGGGTTTGGGGTCGGGTGTCTTGGTCGGATGTGGGATTCATTATCGAGGTTGGTTTCCAAGAGAGAAACTATTTTCCTAAAACGTATTTTCTACTCTCTAGTTAAAAACAAAAGATATTTTCTAATAAAAATGTTTTTTCATTCACCAATCACACACTAGAAAATATTTTCCACTTACCAACCAAACATAAGAAAATAAGTTAAAACCAACTTATTTTCCAAGAAAACATTTTCTTTCCTACAAAACACACCCCAAATTCTAAAACCTTAAAACGACATCTATGATCTTCAAAATTGTCTTAGTGATTTCAGTATTATGTCTTTTATTAATTAAAAGTGGTTCTTTTATTGTTGTGTTGATCATATTATTGTTGTTTTCGAGTAATGAATGTTATTTACTAATGCATGTCTTTATTATTTTACGAGATTGAAATTTGAGGACAAATTGTTTCAAAGAGAAAGGAATCATAGCATCCACGGTGGCATACCTCCATTAAAGTTCATGACAAGTTTAATGATGAGGCAATGATAGTCATTAAATCATTACTCAATTATATTTAGAGGTTTCATAGGTAGATAGATAGTTATGCTTCAGTTTGACGTCCTTTGTCAGTGATTTTAATATTATGACTTACGTTAATGAAATTTGTTTCTTTTAAAAGAATTCCCTTCAAGTGCTTTTAAACTATATTTTCGCTCATGTCTATATGTATGCCATGTCTAATGCTATATTATAGGTATGCTCAGACCATCAATGGCATTGAGTATCGATCTCTCATAGAGTCTAGGCTTGGGGCGTGATAAATACACATGTATGTCTATGTTGGTCTACTTCCATTTAGACTGAACTGGCTCTGGCTTAGAAGATGGAATTTCATAAGATGTAACAGAAGTCGTAGAGATAAAAGTAGGACTAAGACTAGATGAACTGATATACTGGCATTCTCTTCCAACTCCGTATCCTAACTCAGGGAAAACTATCTCTAGATGGCAAAGTGAAAAGTCGAATTGATCTAGAAACGAGGAAGACCCATTCATGTTCTATTCTATGCCATGCCGCAAATTCAGTATACCAATGTTAACGAGTCATGTAGTTATTATTCATTTTAGCTTAGACTTGCATGGTACTTTACACAATAAGTATTCATATAGAAAAAAAAACATAGTTCACATCAATTAATACTCATAGAACGCATACAATAAAGTTGCTCATCACCCAAAGCCTGGCCAAAATGGTTGCACACATAAATCAGCCTTATTACATTATATTACACACATAAAATAAGTAGCTTCTTAATTATTTGTTTACATAGTCAAAGCCACGCCATGAGACACTGGAAGATTCTTAGTAGTGACAAGGTGAGTAGCAGTAGCAAGCATATTTTGCCCAGTAATATTTGTGATCCCATGGTTTGTACTTCTTACAGATACCATATTTAGCTCCATAATAATACTTGCAATGATGACTACATTTGTAAGAGTATTGACAAGGTCCATTCCACTTGTCACTTTTTTTCCAACAGTATTTTCCTTCTGCCATTTGTATTTCTGAAAAAAAGAAGAGAAAATTGGAAACTCATGATATGTACTTGAGATAGCAAATTTATCATAATTTGCCTCCTTTTAATTTTATTGGACATGTTTGACTAGTCACAGAGTTTAATAAAAATTAAATATTTTCAAAGTTTGTAATCTGAAACAAATCATTATATTTGATATCTATAGAATCATGTCATTAATTCTTGACTCACCAGTAGCAGCAACAAGGAAGAGGCAAAAGAGGAGGGCGAGAAAAGTAGTGTACTTTGCCATAGCTCTTATTTTCTGTTGATTTCTTGTTAACAAACCAAACAATTGAAATGGTGGTATTTATAGTTTTGGAAATTCATACTGTCAACTTAATTCCATTTGATTTTTTCAAGGATTACGTTGGATGTTTGATTAATTAATTAAAATGACAGTACATCAAGTACAAAGAATGTCCAACACAATTAACATTTCTTTAATTGAAAAGAACTTGAATTGATCAAAGAGTCATTTGAGTAATAAAGCCTTCTACTAATTGATCAATTTTTTATCTCCACAGATTCCTTTTATGAGTTCACCACCTCTTTGTGTTGATACATGTTATTTTAACGATTACCTAATGTATTTAAGAATCGAATTTTTCAAATGTCAAACTTGTTGGATGTTTTCTTAATTAATTGCAAGATGGATAATTAAATTGACATCAAGTACAAAGAATTAGTCTAGCACAATTTGCATTTCTTTAATTGGAAATAATTTGAATTGATCAAAGAGCCATTTAAGTAATAAATTAGTCTTGTAATAATTGATCAATTCTGTATCTCCAGTACAAATTGCTTTTATGAGGTCATCATCCCTTTATGTTATTTTAGCTATCAAACAAGAAATAAATTGCAGAATATAAGAACACAATAAATTTTACTACAGTAAAGAATCACGACTAGCTCAAAACTTCCCTAAATCAAGCAGTTATAGTATTCTTGTTAGCTTCTAAGATGATGAATTGCTAGTTTTTGGGCTTAGTTAGCTAGTATAATTCTTGTTGACATCCCTATTACTTCGTTAACCTTATTTTGAGTTTATTCGAGTATAATATATATTCCTTATTCTTGTTGTTATGATTATTATTGCTCCCATGATCTAGTTATGAGTTGGAATTACCTTGTTATTTGCATAGTTAGAGCCTTAGCCTAGGGTTGGCTAACGTATGCCTTAGACTCTAGCCTTGATTGTTCGTCTAGCTCAGATTTAGGTTAGATGTGACCTTTTAGGTTGGACTTTGACCTTCGAAAACAATTTTTGGTTTTGGTTCTGGCTTCTTTGGGTTTGTTTAATTTCATGTTTAGTCTTGCCTTAGATGATTAGTTCTATTCTTTGTGTGATTGGATCCTCCGATGTAAGATTCTGGGAAAGATCGTCTCTTGTGTGGTAGTCTTTAGATGTAAGATTCTAGAAGGGACTAGCTTATTTCGATGTAAAATTTGGGGAGAATGTAGGTTCTCAATGTTTATTCTGATATGTAAGATTTCAGAATTGACTAGTTGTTCCAAGGTAAGATTCTGAGAGATGCTTAGTTTGGTTGTGGCTTCTTTTTTTTTTTTATGTAAGATTTTGAAAAAGACTAGCCATATTTTTGATGTAAAATTCTTGAAGGAGCTAGGTTCGTGTGGATATTCCGATGTCAGATTCTGGGAATGACCACCCTTCCGATGTAAGATTCCGAAATATGCTAGTCTTTATTGTAGCCATTCTGATGTAAGATTGTAAGATTACAGGATGAGTTTTGCCTCCTTCGCGACTATACCAATGTCAGATTTCAATATAAGCTCTTGTGTGTATTCGTCAGGCTTATGGGGGTATGGTCATATTATTAATTTCCTCTATCCTGTCTCTTGTATGCACCTTTTAGGCTTATGGGGGTCTAGTTAGGTTTCAGCTAGCCTAGATTACTTAGATTCAATATTAGATTTTCCTTATGCGACTTGAGGCTTATCTTACGATTAGAGTTCCCTTATAGCTAACTTACTTACTGTTTTACGTACTCGCATTTTATTATGTTTTTACAATATCGAGCTTGATCGGCCTATGATGCTTACTATAGGTACCCGTTATTTTGGTACTCATATATACCACACTTTGCAACTCTTTTTCGTGATGTAGATCTGAGCTATAGTCGACCGCGATCCTCATGCAATGCAGTTGATAGTCGTAGATTGAGGGTGAGCTTACTAGTGTCTAGAGTTGACTCATCTCTTCTGTATATTTGACTAGTCTTTTTTATTCCGAAAGTTTGTATATTTGTATATGTCTAGTCCTATTCACGGTCTTTTGTAGTAGTTCTATATTGATGCACCAACAAGGGTTCTGGTGGAGTGGTAAATACTCCTTCATCCTTAATCAAGAGGTCTTGGGTTCGATTTCCCTTGGGTACGGAGTCACCTTTATTAAGGAGCGCTTTACCTCCCAATGTGGGACTTTCCGGCGCGAATCCGGATTTAGTCGAGCTCCCATGTGGGTATCGAACACCGGATGGGAAACCAAAAAAGAGTTCTATATTGATGCCTATCAGGCTTTGGGATGGATCTTTTATAGCTTTTGTCGTCTTTCACTATATGTATATATGTAAGCCTTCTTCTTGCATGGTACTTTACACAATAAATATTTATATAGAAAAATATCATAGTTCACATCAATTAAAACTCATAGAAAAGCACACAATACAATTGTCATCACACAAATCTTGGCCAAAATGATTAAACACATAAATCATCCTTTTTACATTGTTACACGCATAAAATAGGTAGCTTCATAATTATTTGTTTACATAGTCAAAGCCAAGCCATGAGGCTCTGAAAGTTTGTTAGTAATGGCAAGGTGAGTAACAATAGCAAGCATATTTTGCCCAGTAATATTTGTGATCCCATGGTTTGTACTTCTTACAGATACCATATTTAGCTCCATAGTAGTGTTTGCAATGATAACTACATTTGTTAAGAGTATTGACAAGGCCCATTCCACTTGTCACTTTTTTCCTAACAATATTTCCCTTCTGCCATTTGTATTTCTGCAAAAAATGAGAAAATTGGAAACCTCATGGTATGTACTTGAGATAGCAAATTTATCATAATTTCTAAATAAATTTTATTTCCTAAAAAAATAAATATTTTAAAAATTCATAATTTTAAACAAATCATTACATTTGGTAGCTATATTATAATCATGTTTGACTAGTCACAAAATTTAATAAGAAAAAAATATTTTTAAAATTGCTATAGAATCATGTCATTAGAATTCGACTCACCAGTTGCAGCAACAAGGAAGAGGCAAAAGAGGAGGGCGAGAAAAGTAGTGTATTTTGCCATAGCTCTTATTTTCTGTTGATTGCTTGTGGTGAAATCAAACAATTGAAATGGTGGTATTTATAGTGTTGGAAACTCATGTTGTCAACTTAATTCCATTTGATTTGTTCAAGGATTACGTTGGATGTTTGATAAATTAGTCATAAGAGATGGATAATTAAATTATGACACATCAGGTTCAAAGAATTAGTCCAACAAAATTAGGATTACTTTACTTGTAAAGAATTTGAATTGATCAAAGAGCTTGAGAGATAAAGTCTTCTACTAATTGATCAATTCTATATCTCCACACATTCCTTTTATGAGTTCACCACCCCTTTGTGTTAATACATGTTATTTTCACAATTGTACCCAAGGTTATGGACTACTTCGTCGAACTCAAGGTTAGTAAGGAATCACACAAAGACTCCATGTTTTTGTTTGTAAGGAAATATGCAGAAGATGTTCAGGAAAATGAGAGAAATTTCATTTACTAGTATTAACAAGTGTTATTGCTTCTTATTAGAAAAGTGACAATCCATCAGAATGACTACTATTTTTCAAGAATAATTTTGAATGTGTGGCAATAGCTATAGTTAGTCTGCATAGCATCAATGTGGTGCTTATATGGAAGTGTTGATGGTCAAATCTTCTAAATTTTGTTCTTCAAAGCCAAACCAAGTTATATTAGCGATTCCAATTCTACTTGGACATAATTTCCTTTTTTTATAAATAAATAAATAAATTTATACCACTAGACAGAGCATCTAGCAACCTCTTATTAATAATAAAAATAAAATCCTCAACGTGAATAAGTACAAACAAAGGGATCGGGTCTCAGGTCAGGGCCATATCTCGGGTCGGAGTTGAGGATTGGGTTGCGGTCGAGTCAGGGTCGTGTCACAGGTCAGGGTCTTGGGTCGGGGTCGAGTCTTGGGTCGAGGTTGGATCTTAGGTCGAAGGCGGGCTGTGTCTCGAATCGAGGTCGGGTCTCAACTTAGAGTCTTAGTTTCGGGTCTCGATTCGGGTGTCAATGTCAAATCAGGGTTCAAAAATTGAAAATTGAGTGTCGATTTCAAGGTTGGATCAAGGTTTGGGGTCGAGGTCAAGTTTAGGTATTAGGTCGAGGTCTCGGTTGGGTCTCAGGTCGGAGTCAGGATCGGGCAGGGGTCAAGGTCTCGGGTCTTGGATCTGTGTCAAATCTCGGGTGGGGGTCGGATCTTGAGTCAGGGTCAGGGTTGGGTCTCGAGTCAGGGTCGGGGTCTCAAGTTGAGGTTAAGGTTGGGGTCAGGTTGAGGTTAAGGTTTGGTTTAGGTCTCAGGTCGGAGTCGGGGTCAGAGTTGGGTCTTCAATCGAGGTCAGGCTCATGTCGTGGTTGGGGTCGAATCTTCGGTTAGGGTTAGGGTCGAGTCTCAGGTAAGGGCTAGAATTGTGGATAGATCTCGAGTTGGGTCGGGTCTCGGGGTCGAGGTCTTGAGTCAAGGTCGGGTCTCAAGTCGGAGTAGGAGTCGGGTCTCGAGCCAAGATCGAGGTCAAGTCTTGAGGCGAGGTTGGGTCTTGGGTCGGGGTCGGGGTTGAATGGCAGATCGATTATCGAGGTTGGTTTCTAAGTAAGAAACTATTTTTCTAAAAAGTATGTTTCTACTCCGTAGCTAAAAATAAAAGATGTTTTTCTAAAAAAATATCTTTTATTCACCAATTATACACTAGAAAATATTTTATGGAAAATATTTTCCACTCACCAACCAAGAACAAGAAAATAAGTTAGAAATCAACTTATTTTCTAAGAAACATTTACTAGAAAAACATTTTCCTATGCTGAACACACCCCAAATTCTAAAACCTTAAAAGAGACATCTATGTTCTTCAAAATAGTCATAGCTAGTGATTTAGTACTATGACTTACATTAATTAAAAGTGATTCTTTTATGGTCATTTTGGTCATATTATTGTTGTTTTCTAGTAGTGGATGTTGTTTACTAATGCATGTATTTTTTATTTTGCGAGATTCAAATTTGAGGACAATTTATTTTCAAAGAGAGAGGAATCAAAGAATCCATGGTGGCATACCTCCATTAAAGTTGATGAGTTCAATGAAGAGGTAATGATAGTCATTAAGTCAGTACTCAGTTATATTTAGAGGTTTCATAGGTATATAGCTAGTTATGCTTCAGTTTGACCTCTGTGTCCTTTATCAGTGATTTCAGTACTACAATTTACATTAATGAAAAGTGTTTCATTTACAAGACTTCCCTTCAAATGCTTTTAAGCTATGTTTTCGTTCATGTCTAGATGTATGACATGTCTAATGCTATATTATGGGTATGATAGGACCAACAATGGCATTCATGAGTATCGATCTTGCATAGAGTCTACTCTGGGGGGGGGGGGGATAAATAC